CTAAGTCACACATTCATTCCAAACTGGATGGATAAGTTGATAATTAATTTCTTAATTAATAAGCGAGTTTAATGATCACTCTACTATAATTTAAAGCTGAACAGGGACATTAGGGAATCTTCTGTCTGCTCCTGGAAGATTTACAGTCCCTTCCAGTGTGGGCGTCCTGCAGGTGGGCACCGGTATTCCCCAAGGAGCGGCGGCTCCGGAAGTGTGCAGTCAGGGCTACCTTGGGGGGTAGCCCCAACAATGAAGACAGTGCATAGGAGCTCAAAAGCCTGCACATCATACCTTTCAGATACTTTTGTGGGATATTATTAAGTGGGCCACAGGCCAGTTGATTTGTGGGGTTCTTTGTTAGATGCCCATGATTTTCTGTCGGTGGTGCCCTTCTCAGTCATCAGAGGCACCAGCAGTGTCATCCATGCTGGCCTTACTGCTGCTGTGGTTCCCAAGGCTCTCGCTGTGGCTCTGCAGCAGTGGCCCTCCCTAGCCAATGCTCCATGGTGTCCCTGCCCTGTCCCATGCATCTGCTGGCCTGGGAGCATGCAGCTCGCCTGAGGGCTCTGCTCATTCTGGAAGAAGCTGAGGGCTGAGGCAGGAGGGCTGGAAGGCAGAGGAAAATCTGATGGGTGAGATGAGCAGCCTGGGCCAGGCAGCATGGGTGCTGTCACACACACCCCTGCACACAGTGGACAGCTGTTGGTGGCTGTTGGAGGCACAGTTCTAGAATGCCAGGTCCTCCCCATCCCAACTGTTCACCTTGGGGGCTGTTGGCAGGTGGCAGTGAGCCCTGAGCATGGAGAAGCTTCCTGAGGAGGAGAAGGAGCTGAGATGCAAGTCCACGAGGCACCCCATTTAGAAGAGACCACAAAGGAGGAGACAGAGGATTCTGTGCAGAGGAGATACCAGGGAGGTCAGGTGTCCCAGAAGTCTAAGGAAAGACACAAACAGAGGGAGCGCCCAGCAATGCCCAGGGCTTCCCAGAGGTCAGGTAGGGACATACAACCCCAGTGTCCTTACAAGCCAGGCCCAGCCAGTGGCAGGGGCAGAGGAGCTGGCCCTGAGCCACACTGCGGACCTGCCCACCTCTCTGCTCTTACCTGGGAAACGTGCCGCAAGGGCAGTGCGAGTTCACAGACCACCCACCCCACCGGTCTCTTGGGCATGAGGGAGCAGGGGCCGTGGCGGAGGGGCTGCTAGCTCTCCAGGGGAGATCCAGAAACAGTGGGAAGCAGAAGCCAGGCGCTTGTCATGTTGGGGTGTTTTTGCCCCCGACTCGGGGTTTTTGTCATAGTCACTCGTTGCTGAGAGCAGATCCCAGCACACAAGGTTAGAGGCGGAAAGGCACCTTGTCCTCACAGTGTGTGGAGGTTCCAGTCCGCAGTTGGCCTGCTCCGGGCTGGGTGGCATGGCAGAGAGGCATCAGAGAGAAGCAGTTCACAGCGAAGCAGCCGTGACGGCCATAGCTCCCCTGTCCCCTGCATCTCAGCCAGGCCACTCACCTAGGGCCAGGAGCACGCACACCCTTGATCCCAGCCTCCCACGAGGAATCAGTGCTGGCTTCACATCTGGAGCCCAGCAACATGAACCCTAGATCAGTCGCCACCGGAAAGCCCCCCATATGACAGCGTTGGGTCCTGGGGGACATCTAGACACAAGCCGTAACAGTGCCACTTTCTGTAAAGTAGAAAAACTTAAACTTGTGAGTGTGTGTACATGTGTAGCTCATCTTCAGATTTAGTCCCCACACTTCTTTCTCACTTTAGGAATGTAAATATATGCACAAAAGCATTCTTGGGCTTTTAAAGATCCAGAGCCATCCCAGGGCAGGCAGGATCTGTGTGTCCCTGGAAGAGCCCTCCACCCCCAGCTGGGCACCAGCCACCAGGCTTCCTTGGCGAGGCACAGCTAGACAACCCACTCTGCTGTTACCCACCTGCTGTGAGCCACCTGCCCAAGATCACCGGCGGGACCCAAGCAAACCTGAAGTGACTGCAGGCCTGAGCAGCACTTGTGGGAGGGGTGTCGGGGGCAGGGATGGCCAGCCTTGGTCTCTCCCGGTGGTGCTACTGCAGGGGGAGAGCATATACACTTGGATCGTGACATCTCATGGGAGGGAACACCCAATCCCTGGTACAATTTTCAGATTTCCTTAAATTCTGTTTTTTAAAATCTATCCTCATATCTCCATATCTGTGTGATTTATTGGTACATCACAGATGAGCTGGGTGTGGTGGCGCATACCTGTAAATCCAGCAGTCTGGAAGGCTGAGGCAGGAGTACCGCAAGTTCTAGTCTAACCTGGGCAAATTAGCATCTTGGTGGGGCTCTAGCTCACGATATAAAAAATAAGTCAAAAGGCCAGCGTGATAGTTCGGTGTGAAGTCCCTGGGTTCAGTCCCTGGTACTGAAAAACAAGGCACACGTGTTGATACAAACATGCAGCATTCCTCTGTTGAAGGACTGACTTCAAGACAGTATGCAGTATGTTAATTATTGAAACTGTCCTACCAATTTGATTTGAAACTGTCTCATTGCTATTTGTCAATAAAATTATGGAGAAAAAAAAATTAAAAAAAAAAAAAGACTGACTACAGACAGAAGCTCGGTGGTGGCCTCCTGACCAGCCAGGTGGCCTGGGGACATTCTTTCCAATCTACCATCATTTAAAGATCAGTGTGAACACTGCGCATGCGGGTGGTGCCCTTGGCCCAGTACGGCGTCCCTGCCCTGGCACTGGGTATGTGGAGGGCTTACCTGCACTTTGCAGTCTGGGCAGGCTACCGGGCTGTGGGCTGCGGCTCTCCCTCCCTTGTGCTGGCCCGTCCCCTTCCCTGCCCTCAGGAAGTATGGTTTCCTCTGTTCTGTCCCTGATTCTGAAGCAGCCTGCACATTTTAGAGCTAAATCCTTGCAACTCAGTTTCTTTCGCAGGGCTTTCAAATAATGAGGAAGCAGGACAAACACAAAAGAAATCAGCAAAAGTTTTTAAAAGGCTACCTTTTTTTTTGACACGAGGTATGGCTACACAGTTCAGTCTGACCTCGAACTGTGCACCTCAGCCTCCCAGGTGCACTTCCCCCAACCCCCAGCTGGCTACCATTTATTAAATGCCTGGACTTCATTTGTGTGTGTGTGTGTGTGTGTGTGTGTGTGTGTGTGTGTGTGTGTGATGCATACTTAATATGTGGGAGCAGTGAGTGCAGGGGTAGGAGTTTCGTGCTTGGCACAGGGCTTGTGCTCAGTACAGCTGGCCCAAGGCTGTGTGCATGGGCTCTCGACTCGGGCACTCTCTCCTTCCTCCCCTGGGGAAGGACAGAGCATTTATTTGCATTTGTAGTTTCATAAAACAGATACTTGACTTGTGTTGGAAAATTTCTCAGCTCTTCGCTGAGCATGGGGAACATGTAGAGAATGTTCCAGACTCTCCGGCCTGCGCCCTGTGCTGGTTGCTGTGGGCATTCGTAGTTTTCCCGATTTCCTTTGTCGTGAGGATCCAGCTGAACTTGAACTCTGACACTGACGGCACAAGCAAAGTGCGGTGTGGTGGACAATCGCAGAGCTGCTTGTTGCTGTCTGTCTTTAAACACAGGAATAAAGAAATCAGTGGTGCACGTGATTGTGGTGTGGTTTTACCTTCACTTGCGTCTAGTCTTTGGGGCTTCAGTGCACCTCTGTAACGTGTTCTGCAGCTCTTGGAACCTAATCTTAGATTTTGTTTTTGAGTTCTCATAATGATTTTTAAAATATTCTAATATATGTCTTCAAAGACCCCGATCGATCTGCCAATGGTGGTGAAATGACGGAGTGCTGTGCTATTCCTCTGTAATTTAAACATGATTAGCTGATGAAGGTTATGATCAATACACCACGGGAAGATAAATTAATTGATATCATCCTTTCAGGATGATAAGGAGCCTATTGGAGGTGGGAAGTAACTAATGAAGCTGCTTCTTCTCTCTGGGAGCCATTTTTTATATATTGCATTTTCACTTCATCATATTTATACTGTCATTCATTTACATGGACACTATAAACTGTGGACAAACCAGTTCCTTATTAAAATTGTGTTCATTTGGAAAAGAAATGATCTGAATGCCATGTGGCTTCGTCTGCAGTCTGACCTCTGGTCAAGGGAGCTGGCAGACCCTCTCCTGGGCATCTTCGGGACAGCGACACCTGGGGCAAAGACAAGATTGAGTATTGCCAGATGTAATTACAGCTCCTCCTGAAGATGCACATCCACTCAAATAAAAACTGTAGTTACTCTCCTGGAGTGACACCTATTGGTGTAGGAAGAGTTTTCTAATCGTTGACTTCCTTTCCAATTAAATTCAATATGCTTTATCAGTGAGCCTATTTGCCAAGAGAAGTTATGGCTGGTTGAATTTAGATTTGTATTGATTAAGATAAACTTCCAGTGTGTGTGGTAATATGTTTAAATAAAAAAAGGTCTTTGATATAATTACTTGTGCTGAGTATAATTCTGTACCATAGCTTATAAAGAATAATTCTTTAGGCAGTACAAAAAAAGAAAAAGAATTCTGGCTTTTGCGAGGGTTTAAATTTCCTGTGGTAGTTAGAATTGTGGGTGCTCTGAGTGACTGCAAAACTCTCTTTGTGAGGACAGTGCTGAGGTGTCGCAGTGGCAGGTGTGCTCCCCGGCCCGGTTCTCCTGTGTCCTGCACCACCGAGCATGCTGCTGGGGCCACAGGCACGTACATGCATTTCGGGCAGGTTCAGGGCACAAGCTGGGGAGGAGTGGGCGGAGGACAAGGGCGGCTGTCTCTGGGCAGGACCCAGGAAGGCTCTATGGGGCCCCTCCTTCCCTCGCCCTGGGGACGAAGGCCGTTCTGGGAACTGACCCATGGCCAGGTGCCCAACTGAGGACCTTTGCAGAGCACAGAACAGCAGATCCCAGGGCTCACTCCCCGTCCCTGATGTTTCCTGTCACCCGGAAACCAGCTTCACATTGCTTCCTTTGTCTCTGTGTCACCAGTGGCCCAGAAGATCGTAGCCACCAGGAAGAAGCAGCAGCTGTCCATCGGGCCCTGCAAGTCCCTGCCCAACTCGCCCAGCCACTCCTCCGTCTGCTCTGCCCAGGTGTCCGCTGTGCACATAAGCCAGGTAGGCAGGCTCCAGATCAGGGGGTGTGGGGTGGCGTTTGCAGGGGAGACTGGCTAAGTCTTCTCCAACTTTATAAATAGCAGCATGCTTATAATTGACTTCACATTGCCTTCAGAAACCGCTGTGGCCAAGTGGTTTTTATGGGAATCATTCTTTAATGTTTTCAGTCTCCGTGCTGCTTGTGCCATGAGGCATGCTGGCACAGGGGCGGTGCCAGGTGTGTGCCCCTGTCGCTGCTATTGATTTAAATCCCCGTCCTGCTCTGCTTATAGGTGGAGCAGTTGTGAATAAATTTGAACGGCAGAGCTCACCTTAGGCCTAAATTCCGCAACAGCATTCAGTTATAATTACCATCTCCCTTAGGCCCCATAGGAAGTACGATCTTCACAACAATGTTTGCTAAATTATTTACTTGGAAGCGGGTGATATAGTATCAACTTGGAAGAAGTGAACCAGAAGCTGTGAAGGAAACCGTGGGCTTTATTTTGCTCATCCTTGTTTCCTCATGGGCCTGTCTCGGAGAGGGTGCTTTTGGCGCTCTTTCCCGGATGTGCAGGGCGGCCACCACTCGGCAGGCCGGTGGGCGGCTCCCTCTGCCGCAGGACTGTGCTGCTGCGTGGTCTCTAGCGTCCATGTCTTCCCTGGTGCATCTCTCTCTTTTCTGTGGAGCATACGCACTTGTTCACCGCAACACTTGGATATCCAAAGGTCATTTTCAGAATTAGCTGTGGTTGTGGTTCTGGCAGGACCAGCCTGTGAGTTCCGAATCTGCTCAAGAACTGAGAAGGAACCACAGAATCTGTTTAGTTAAACCAGCCGCTTGGTTTTTCTGGAGAAAAAAATAGCATTTTGAATTCTTAGACTTTCTAAGTGATGGTGCCTTTCATGCCAGGTCACTGTTAGACAGAACACCGTTGTGAGCTGAGGCTGTGTGCTAGAGTTAGACTGTGGACAAGCACTCAATGCTGATGCCAGGGCAGAGCCAGAGAGGCTGCCTGGCCTGCCGCTCCTGCACCCCGACTATGGGGGCGACCTGCCACTCCAGGAGCCTGTCATTCATAAGACCTTGGTTTTCCTTTGTTACAGACGAGCAATGGAGGAGGAAGTTTAAGTGACTACTCCTCCTCTGTCCCGTCCACTCCAAGCACCAGCCAGAAGGAGCTCCGCATCGACGTCCCTCCCACTGCCAACACCCCGACTCCCGTCCGGAAGCAGTCCAAGCGCCGGTCCAACCTTTTCACGGTAAGTGTCAGCTCTGAGCCAGCACCTGAGCAGGATGCGCTGAATTCCAAAGGATTGGTCCACTTGCTGAGCTGGAGACCAGAGCACCTCTGCAGGTGACCAGGGGGCCCCCGCAGGTGTCTGAGGAGCCTTTGTAGCCTTGCTTTGAGCTCTCACTGCCAGTAACATTAGGCACATGACTTCAGTAGTGCTGAGCAAAAGCAGTTGTAGGATACCAGGTAGATCGGGAGGGAGGTGTTTTGATGCCACCATGCAGATGACTTTTCTGCTTAAATGGTACATGGTCAAGATGCTTTATGGCCAAAATCCTTCTGACATGTAGATGGAAGATGTTGCCTACATGGCCATCCTGCTCCATGGAAAACCTGTAAGGCTCTTGTACACCTGAGGTGGGGCCAGTGGTGGAGGAGGGATCCCCTACACACACACACACACACACACACCGTGCTTCTCTCTCTCTTCCTCTCTTCTTCCCCTCTCTGTCTGTCTCTCTCTCTCACACACACATACACACCCGTGCTCCTCTCTCTCTCCTTCCCCTCTCTGTCTGTCTGTCTGTCTCTGTCTTTCTCTCTTTCTCTCTCTCTCTCTCTCTCTCTCTCTCTCTCTCTCTCTCTCTGTCTCTCTCTCTGTCTCACACACACACACACACAAACACACTCGTGCAGAATGGGCTGTTCACTTACACCTGCAGTAGGCCTGAAAGGGCAACCATGAGGGGGCACTAGCACAGTGGGCAGCTGGGGCTCAGGACCAGCCTCTGCTCCTGCCCCAGTAACCACTGAGAGTGGTGTGGGAGAGGACAGCTGGCCTCTGACACCTGCACAGAGCCAATTTTGCTGCTCATTGACAATGGTTTTTGTTCTATGAAAGAAGGAACAAACAAGTGGGGATTGTTTTTTGAGGCAGGCCCCTTACACAGGGACCAGCACACCCCTGTACCCACCCTCTGAAGGGATAGTGTAGGAGTTGGAATCTGCCACAAAATAGTGTATAGGACCCCAGCACCAGAAAACTGCCACCCCTGCTGGCTCATGTTGGAGACTACTTTATTTTCAAGAAGGAAGAATGAAAGTAGTAAGCCCACGCATCCACATCTTCTTAGTGTCTGCAGGCGCTGGTTTTGTTCAGTGAGTGGGAGGATTGGTGGTGGCCAGAGTTGGCCACATTTGTGAGAAAGTGGTTGGAGCAGGGTGGGGGGAGGGTCTGCACAGCACACGGAGTGGGAGACTCTGGGGGAAGGGCACATATGTGTGCACACAGGCACACACCTCAGGGCCATCCAGGAGGCCACACTGGCACAGGCCACGTGGGCAGGTGCCGGCGCCAGTGGAAGCATTGCTGCAGCTCTGGACGTGGCTGCTCCTCACGTCCCATCCACACCAAGGCTGCCTGCAAGTCTGCACTCCTATGCTCCTTTTCTCCCTGATGTCAGCTATCAGTGGGGGCAAAGGTCCCCTACAGACGGCACCCGCTGCCCAGCTCGAGCAGGGGATCAGGAGTTTGGGCTGGTGAGAGAATTTAAAGTACCGGTGGGCTTGACCCGTACAAACCCCAGGCCAGAGCCACGCGCCAGCGCTTCCCAGATGGGGCTGGTGGGGGTGGTGAGAGCACTGTGTGAGGTCCTGAGTATTCCTGAGGTGAAGATCTTGGAACAGGAACTCCACTAGATGTCAGTGTCATCCAAGGAATGAGACAAAGGCAAATTAATTTTGAAATCTAAGCAATTAAGGAGCAGTTCTTACAGTTACCCATTTGCTTCTGTTCTCAAATAGGTAAAATTCTAGTCTCAGTCCCTGGGTCGTGGTCATGAGCTCTGATCGCCCAAGTGTGTATTCACTTCACAGCGTCCAGTGGGGGAGAGAGGGGCGGCCACATGCAAGCAGTCAGGGTGGGTGGAGACACATGCGGCCTGGGTCTGTGATGTGCAGGGGAAGCACCAGGGGCCTTGTGTTTTCATTTGTTTGTTTTTTTAATGTATTTCTTACAGGGTCTCACTATTCACCTTGGACTCATAGTGATCCTCCTGTTTTCAGCCTTTCCTGCACTGGGATTACAGGTGTGCACCACCACGCCTAGATTCAGTTGCAGGCTTGGCACACCTGGGGGCAGGGCTGGTACGCCTTTTGGTGCCAGGATCACACCCCAGTGCATGCACTTGCCTGAGCAGGCGCTTACTCTGTTGAGCTATCTGGCCAGCCAGTGCACACGTCACTCTCAATACCATTCTTGCATAGTTTATACAGCAGGCCGGGAAGGGCGACGTACCACCCTGGACTCACGTGCTCTGCGTGCAGACGCTGCTGTGTGCATAGACACGTCTCTACCCAAATGGATCACGTGCACCGTATGTGAAGCGGCATAAACCTGAAATCTCTCCAGAGATGACGTGTCACCTTCATAGCAGGAGTTATACCTCACTGGCAAAATCTGTGTCTTTACTTCTTTCTTTGGAAAAAACACTTTTGTAAAAATAAACTTTAGAAGACTATGCACTTATCCTGGTTTTGTAGTCTGATCTTTACAGCAGGAAGTTTAGTGGCCCCAGTTTACATGCAGTTGAGCTGTTTTATTGGAGAACAGTTTCAAACATAGGAAATAAAAACCACGTGTGCTCACCACGCAGCTCCGCAGATACAGACCTTGTCTGTGGCCGCTGCCACTGCCACAGCTCCTTAAGAAGCAAACCATAAGCAGAAACCAGCTGCCCCGGAGCTGCCCTCCTGCCGCTCTTCAGGCAGGGGTGTTGCCCGGGACTTCACGTGTGGTATCTGTGTTCCGGTCTTGCGTGCCTGCATCCTGGAGCACACACCGTGTTGCTTGCTTGTCTGTGCTGTGTGGCAGCGCCGTCACTGACACGATGTTTTTCAAAGCTTGCCAAGTCGGCGGCTGGCATTAAGCAGAGCTAAGCCTGCTGGTAGTCATACGATGTGGGAAACAGAGCCACCTGGAAAAAACAAGACGGGGAAGTTTGTCATCTAAGTAGAATTGTTTGAATGGTGCTCTGGGCTTCCATGGAGGAGAGCCTCCATGGAAGGCAGGTTCTGCAGGCCTTGCCCTTGCCCCTTGCCAGGAAAGGGGAGAGAGAGCAGCTTCCGCTGGCTCCTGAGGGCTCTGGTCAGTGAGGCTGCTGCCTGGTATCCAGCAGGTATCAACAGAAGTCTCTTTGGGGCTTCCTGCACCTTGTGAGGGGAGGAGAAATGCTTGTTGTAGAGTGGTAGGTGCCGAGAGGCGTCCTCACCCCCCTCGTCCGTGCTGGCCTTGCTGGGGGCTGAGCAGCCGCACCAGCCCGGGTTCGCCTCCAGGCCCTCTGCGACAGCTGTGCTTCTGGCAGCGACAACAGGCTGGACGCAGGACACGATTGCACCAAGGCACAAGTGGGCGCCAAGAGCGTGCAGGTTCCAAATGGGGCAGGAAGACACAGGACCCTTGCCAGGGACTTGTAGGCACCTGTCTTTTGTGTCCCCTGGACCTAGCTTAGTTGTGTCATTTGGTTTTTATGGGTACAACTTGTGGGCAAAGCAGTGTGGGACTGAGTTACAGCAAACCCTTCCTCTTCACCTCTGCTCTCGCTTGGAATTTTATTTTTGTGAGTCTTGCCATCAGGATGTGATAGTTGTTGGGAAATCTTTGCAATTTCATTTACCTCTTATGACTGAATATTGAACCAAGTTGCCTTGTGTTTTTTCCAGTGCTAGGAATTCAGCCCAGGGCCCTCGCGTTGATCTCTGCCCCGGCCCTTTTATTTGTTCATTACTGTTGGGCAGGGTCTCAGTAAGTCTCCCAGGCTGGCTTGAACTTGTGATTCTCCTGCCGTGGCCTCCTAGGTGCTGGGGCTACAGGCATATGCCTGTGCCCGTGCCCGTGCCTGCGCCAGTGTGGGTCTTCACCACTCGTGTGCCAAGTTGTGGGAGGCAGCGGTGTTGGCCCTTCCTGCTGCGGGTGGAATCTGAAGCCTGCTCTGAGAAAGGGCGGCTGTGGGGACAGATGTGCCGCCTTGGGGAGGATGTTAACTTTTTTTTTAATGTTTGTTTTGTTAATTATTCTGGCTAACAGAATAATAGAGATGGATTTCCAAATTTAGAAACTTAGCATTCATAAAATTCCTGGAGCATTATTGATGGTCTCTATCAATTTAATTTTTTTTAAAGTACATCACAGTGAACTGAAGCGTATGTCATACGTAGAGACCGCAAGTGCCAGCTTCCCTGGAACTGTGGCAGGAGAGAGCGGGAGGCGATGTGTAGCTCTGGCTGCATGTTATTAATGGAAGCATTAATGAAAACCCCACACAGCAGCAGAAATTCGTACCCAACACTTGGTAAACATCTCTACTTCCCTCCCAGCCCAGAGGGATAGTTTCTTCCTTGTTTGCTTTGTATGGCGGCAGCGGCTTCTCCCTGGAAACTTGTTCCATCTCCTGTCATCTTTTTCCAGGCACTTACTGTCCTAAAGAAGAGAGGCACCCACTGCCTGGTACAGCGTAGGTGCCGGGCGGTGACTGTGAGCGCTGCTCCTCACTGAGGAAGCTGTCTCCTGGCTCCCACTCCCTGGCCTCCCCCCTGATTTTGGCAGACGCTGCCCCCAGGGTCCCAGGCCTGTCCCATGAGCCCTTGCTTTATCCTGCTGTGTGATGTCCATTTCTCCTCTCTACTGTTGTCTTTAAACACCGGCGTGCCATCCCATGTTGCCTTGCAGCGGGATTTCATCAGCCGTTCTGTGTGGCGCCGGACACCAAGCCTTGTTCCATATATCATCTCAGATTTGAAAAGCACATGAAAATGTTTCTCCATTTTCAATATTGCGTGAGTAATGTTCCCATTGAAAAGTAATGGAGTGAAGGTGTCGCTTGTCAGCACTGTTATTAAGGAGGACGAGTCTCAGATCTTTCTCTCATAATAAAATAAATCTGTCAGAAAATCATCCTGCTCACACTTCCTCGTGCCATCAGGAGAGGGAACTTACATGTGGCGCTCCTGCAGCGGGGTCAAAGTGTGCCTGGGGCGGTGGCCTGGCCGGCCACGTGCGGCCACCCTCCCACCCCATCTGGCCATCAGCCCAGTAGTTCCCTCACAGACATCCTTGCAGATAACTGGTCTGTGGACTTGGCAAACAAACAGAGCTGCTTCTCATTCCCCAATCACTGATGTTTCGAGAAGGGAGATTTTCAGTATTTCCTTTATTACTGGTTGTGGCATGCTACACTAATTTAACTTTGAAGTTGCTGTGTTCTAACCATCCAGAAGCAATAAAAGCAAACATTATCCACACCTTGCTACTAATCAGGGCTGTGCCGTTAGCTCACGCAGTTGGCTAGTAATAGAATTTCTTAAATCATTCAGACATTAATTAAATATGTACGTTTATGGAGTCGGTTTTTGAAACAAGCTGCCAGGAGCCCCTTTCCTCCTCGGCTCTATTAAGTGCAGCTTTCGAATGTATGCTCCTGTTGGGCGTTACTTTCTTAGATGGTCCATTGGTTTCTAGTAATTGAATTCTGAACTCTTTAAAAAAGAATTAAAAGATAATTTTGCAGTGGAAAAGTCCAGAGGAAAGTTTAGAACACTCTCCACAGATCGGTGCATCCGTGCGGGGAGTTGCCCCGGGGTCCGCCGGCGCACGCCTGCCCCAGGCCTGGCTTCCGCATCCGGGTTGGAGGGGCGCGTCCATTAGCAAGGCCCGTCCCCAAATGCCAACTTTGCTTTGCTTTGCAGTCGCGGAAAGGGAGCGACCCAGACAAAGAGAAGAAAGGCCTGGAGAGCCGTGCGGACAGCATCGGGAGTGGACGAGCCATCCCAATTAAACAGGTATGCGGTCCCCTCGCCGCCCGGCCGGACGCACACGCACCTCGGTCGGCCGAGAGGATACCACCCGGCGCCGGGAGGGTTTGATGTGCTGTGTTGATGAATGTAGAAGTCACTCACTTGACATCAATTAGAAGAGGTTCCTGTGAGTATTAAAATAGGATCATTAGAATAAGAAGACCAAGTGTGACAAACAGACCTAATGGAGTGCAGTCTGCCCGCCTGCATATGGAGTGCGCTTCCAGGCAGCGCTGGCTTCAAAGGCTGCCTTTGTAGCCCAGCTTTGATTGGGTTGCTGGCCGCCAGGCGACAGGGGTAAACCAGATCGCTGTACAAGAGCCCCTTGTGATCACAGGAATGGCCCGGCGTGGCCCTAATTTGCTCTTGCAGACGGACATCTGAACGCTGTTTCAGGCTGGTCTGCTGCAGCGAGGCAATTAGTTGTGATAATCATGGCCCCGCACGTCAGCTGCTGGCTCTTGTTTGTAATTTGCTAATGAAGGAATTGTAACTTTGATTAGGTTCAGTTTCATTTAGACCTTATTATATAAAGGAACATTTACAGCGGTAATGTGGGGCCTTAATTAAACTTCCTCATTACACAACAGGACTCAGATTCAAGCATTTGTTTTGGCCTCTGTTGCTAGCCTGAAAGAGGGTTTCATTAGCCCAGAGCCCGGATGCTGAAGGACTTCGTGTCTGCAGGGGAGAAGAGGTAGCCTTCACAAGGGACGTGTTCGGGTGTTTTATTTCCGAGGAGAGACAAGAATAAAGAGCACAGCCCCTCACCCTGGCCCTGGAAATGTCATCTTTTAGTTCGTTAAAGAAAACCAACTGATATACAGTGCGTTCTGTTTGAGAAAAAAGAGGCGGGACAAAGCCAGCAGGCAGGATGAAGGCTGCGCCTCCCACCCCGGCTGGCCGGCGCTGTGAGCCTGGCCTCCAGGATGCCAGGCACCAGCTACCCGCAGAGGGACAGAGTCCTTGGACAGATACAGCCGAGTGGTGGCAGCACTGGAGATCTCGCCTGCGGGAAATAAACAGGGCTGTAGCCTGCTTGCTCTAGCAGGGGGCTGGGCAGTTTCGGCTAGAAGCCAGTGGGTGAGAGGGCGTAGGTGGGCTGCAGGCTCTTGGGGGAGAGCAGAGTTGGGGCTGCAGGGGGCTCTTGTACCCCACTGGGCAGCTGCAGGACTCAGCCCCCTGCCTGCATAATGAGCAGGCAAAGAGGCTCCTCTGTGTGTGCTCAGATACCAGGCGACAGATGTGCGGGAGAGCGCGGGCCCCCCAGTACAGGAAATTCTGTTCCTTGCATCTCTAACTGCAAAACGCCTGCCCCGTGCTGGTGGTACGTGGCGTGTTCACCGTTGATCCAGTTCTTTAGAGGTTCGTGCAGAGTTCTTTCTTGCCCATTTTTTAAATAACCCAACTCTTTACTTAAGATAATTTTAAAGTATAATTTTTATGTCCTAGATATTACATCACCTAGAATGAGGACAATTATTTAACTTTCTGTGTGTGTGGCCTGGAGCACTGATGCTGACCTGCGGGAAGATTAAACAGCGCAGGCGGTTCCCGGCTGCACATGTTGGGGACTGGGGACTCCCAACTTGGTGGCGGCACTTCCGTGAGCTCCTCCCGTGCTAATGCCCCCATCGGACTTTGCAGGCGAGATGTGGTGTGCCCATGCAGATCAGAGCTGACCCCAGTGGGCGCTGCCCAGGCCTTGAGCCTTGCCCTTTTCATGGTCTGGTTTCCTGGGAACCTCTGGGCACAGGGAGCTTATTAGCCCCTCCACATGCCCCATATGCCGTGGGGCCAACTCCTGCCTGGGGGCCACCAGCCCATGCTGCCTCAGTGCCAGGTGCTGCCAGCTTCGAGCTCCCCCCCATGAGAAGGGGAGCCAGAGGTCATCTGAGCCCTGTGAAGCACTCCTGTGTGGGGATTCTGCAGAGAATGTTTTAGTTGTAACAAAATTGTAGTTTCAGACTGGTGCTAGTCAGGTCACCCTCCGGAACACCTTCCCGGGTGTCCTGTGGTAGGAGGCCGGTCTGTTGGGGGTTGTAGTGGTGGCCCTCCATGCCCGGGTGTGCCCTTGTTTCTAGAGCATGGTTCACATGAGAGCGCCTGAGCCACTTGCCCCTCTAGAGTGATGACCGCCACAAACGTGGCAGGAACAACGCAGCAGCACCTCCCGAGTGTGCCAGGAACCCACACTGTGCATGCTGAGGGACTGCGCCCTTGACAATGTGCCTGTCATTTCCGTGCGTTGCACACTGCATTCCATCTAAGCTCTCAGCACTGTGTGATGGAGGTGGTTGTGCTACCGAATCTCATACACAACCTGGAGAAAGCAGCTGCGTGTTCTCGCCAGTCACAGAAGCCCACAGAAAGCTTCGTAAGCAGAGCCCAAGCGATTGGTGGTGTGCGCCCTGCCCTCAGGCCGAGACTGCCCCGGTAGAGGAGGCCTGTAAGGCTGTGGCTGCAGCAGCGCTTCTCCAGGGACGCACCCCTGTTGGCGGCTGGGAGAGCTCTTTTCACCCCTGAGCATCCCAGCAGGCAGCAGGATCTCTGGGCCTGCTTCAGCCTGCACTCAGGAGTCTGCCCGTGGCTGGGCAGTGCACTGGCCAACAGGCCCTTCTCTTCTGGGCAGAGGACTTGCTTTAGAAGCTCCCAGCTTCCCGCAGCTGGTGGTGGCTGGGGCTTTGACCGAGGTGGACTCTGCGCCCTGATGCACCTCCTCCTTCCCACCCCCATGAATCTTCTACTCACGGGATGTGGCCATTTGGAACTTGGGCGTGGGGGGTCCACACTCCCTGTTACTAACATTTATGTAGATCATACCCTGTTACTAACATTTATGTAGATCGTACGTGTGCCGGTAGATCGTTGTAACCATTTCCCTCGATGATTTACAGCTCATTTGTTTGAAAAGCAAGGCTTTTACCCCAGTATGGGGCCGAGTGGAATCGTGGTAGTCGGTGACTTCTTCTCTTTCTCCTCCCAATTAGAGATCTCTCACTGAGAACAGGATTTGTCTCCCAGAACCTAAGTTCATGTGTTTTGGACCTGGACCCATCTTGCACTTTTGGTCCCTTCCAGGGTTCTGGACACACTTGGCTCAGAGAGTTCCTGTCTTTATTACTAACAAGATAAGGTCTGTTCAAATAAAAATTAAAAAACAAAGCAAGAAAAATAAAAGCCAGAGGCCTGGCTCAGCGGCGAGTGGGCTTGTCACGTATTAATTTTTCATTGCTGTGGAGAGTTGTACATACATAATCACTTGATTGCAGTGGGAGTTAGGGAGCTCCTGTGGTGTCATTTGCATAAATCTTGTTAAGTCAATGGCAGTTAATGAAGTACAAATGAGCCCGGAGAAGGTGACATGCAAATCGTGGGTGGCAGATGGGAGGTCTGTTTGGGGGACGGCAGCTGTGTGCGCTCCTTTCTTTCTTTCTCTTTAGCATTTTTTAATCTCTATATTTGACTGCAGACACATAGCCATAAGCCTTGGCCTCTCCCCCTCTGCTGCCTGCGGCCAGATCCTGACCGGCTCCTCCTGCCCTGGCGTTCGCTCTGTGGGATGGCGACTGCGGGGTCTCGTCTCCCACTCAGCGGTGGGCGTCTGACTTTTAAAAATCCTGATTGGTTTGTCTTGACCTGCGTGAACGTGTATTCTGGTTGGCGAGCGTGGACGGACAGGACTTCGTTCCATACAGAGTCACTGCAGGCAGGATGTGGCCTCAGATGTGCCAGAGGAGAAGTGCCGTCCCGGCTCTGCTATTGCCTGGAGGGTCTTTGCTTCCCTCTTGGGACAGGCCAGCTACGTACACTGTCACTCTCGCTGGGGCTTTTGAGCCCGTGGTGGTTGGCCTTCCCAGCGTGGTGAGCAACAGAAATATGGAAAGTGGCCAGTGCTCCCTGGCGAAGACCCCACACCCCAAGCCAGCAGCCCAGGGGCCCCGTGGCCGCTGACCTATGGCTCAAGTGTCCTGCCTGTGGGAGGCTTTATTTGAAGGAAGTAGGTGCTGGCTGGACTCGCACTGAGGTGTTTGGCTTTCCAGGCTGAGACCTGCATTCGCCCCTACTACAGGAGCTTTGGGCTCGTCCTTCACTCCATCCACAACTCTCCGAGCGGAACACATCTCAGTACTGAAAATGTAGGCAGAGGTGCGGGGAGCTGTGGGCCCTAAGCTGCCACGGTGGGGGCGAGTGCTGGAGCCGCCCACTCAGAGCCGCCTGCACTTGGTGTCTCTGAGGCCTCTCCTGGGTGGCTCCCCAGTGCTACCGAGGACCCACGATGAGGCCTGATTGCCTTTGTGGTGCTCACAGTGCCCACTCACCACTGCGGGCTGAAGCATCCTGGGAAGGCTTTCTTTATGCCTTAAGTTTGACCGTAAGCCCAGAGGTCATGGCCACCCTGAGAGTGCGGACAGTAGTCTGGGAGCAGGTCTTTCTTGGCAGCCACTGGAAGCCACCTGAAACCCTGCACAGGGCACTCCTGTCATACTGCCGCTGGGCCTTGTACTGTCCTTGAGCTGAGCAGTTTTGATTCTCCACAGAATAGAAAGTGGTGGGCTGGGGAGCTAGATGGGCAATCTAAATGCCTGGATGGCAAGCGTAAGGACCAGGGCTTGATCCCCAGTACTGCATGCCATGCTGGCTCCAGAACACTGGGTGTGCTGAGCCAGCCACTGAGACCAGGCATGGTGGTGCATGCCTGTAATCCCAGCACTGGGGAGGCTGAGACAGGAGGACCACTACCAGTCCAAGCTGCATAGTGAGGCCCTATACCAAATAAATAAAAAAGAGAAAGTGGTGATTATCACAGAAGTGAAAGCCCTTTGGAGTTAACCCCCAGCCCGAAGGGCCCAGGCCACTGACCTGTGTTTTCTGGACCTCAGGTCAGCTCATGGGGTGCATTATGTGGCATGAGCAGCAGGAAGGGCACTAGTGACCACCAATGGCACTGCCAGTGCTGGGTCCACTGTTGTCTCAGCTGCTAC